TCAAGTTCCGAAGAAGAGTGCTTACCTCCGCCTTATCGCTTTTTGCAAAGCGTTGCTCAATTTCAGCAAGAAATTCTTTGGCACTTGTGATGTTTTCAGAAACAGTGCAAACAGTGCCCCTAAACACCTCCGAGATGTCGCGCTTAATGATCATTAGACTCATGCGATTTGAGCGATCCCACTTCTCATAATCTTTTTTCTGTTCAGAGGTACTTGAATCCGTAGGAGTAGGGGGTTGCTCAGTCCTTAACGCAAGATCCATATCCATGCAACCAAGAACAATATCAATGTTCTCTTTCCAGTCCTTAAAATTTGTTCCATTGAGGACCGGAACATAATTTAAATTGGCGAATACGTAAGCAATTGTAGCTGAATTTAGAACACGAGAAATAAACTAATTATGCTCACATTATATAAAAAATAAATAATATATATTCAAATAGTGGTTTAACCCATCTCAAGACACCCAATGCACCATCAATATCAAGTCTTTGGACGAGTAATATTAACTGCTAGAGGTATCTTGTTGTAATAATCAAACATTGACAATAAAGCACGTCCAACAACAAACCAGTCTTTGGATTGATTTATCATCGACAAAGCAAATCCTTATAATTATCATTACAAGTGTGTATACAATTCGGCCAAATATTAATCTTCCTTTGGGCCGACTAATACTCGCATGAATATACACAAACACTAACATTCAATATTTTTCATGAACTACCCAATTCAAGAGAAGTTACTTTGGTGACTTCTTGACTCAATTTGCTAAAAAAAATATTAAACTACCAAAAATTGAATATTTTATTTATATAACAAAACCAAATATTCAATATTTGCAAACTAATTCAAAAGAGAATCACCTCATTAGAATTCTACTAAGGATGAACACCTCCCTAAAATCTCATTAGGGATGAACACCTCATTTGAATAAATCAAAGGATGAAAAAAGGCCTCATTTTTCACCAATACATAAAGGATGAACATCTCCCTAAAATCACACTAGGGATGAAACAGAGATAGTTTTGAGTCTCTTTAGCATACTGCTCTAAACCCTAAAAGGGAATTAAACAGTAATCACTCAAACCCTAATTTAACATCAAATTTTCCTTAAATTCCTAGGGGATAGAGGCAATAAAATAATAACAGCCACACATGTGAAAACATTCACCAGTTGCCTAAGATCCTCTATGTTGGGAATTCCCCAAACACCACTCCCAATTCCAAACCCATAAAATTAAATAAAAACAAAATATTCAAAAAAAGAACAGAGAACCCAATACAAGAAAGATTGAAATTTGAAACACTGTTTCTTTCTCAGTAAAACTTGAAACTTAAACTGAAACAAAAGGAAAAAACGAAGAAGAAGAATCCATAGCTTCCTCCACGGTTCCATCAGCAAGCAGAATCAGATTGGGGATGTTACCCCCAAATTTAAATTTTAGGGTTCACAAAAATTAGAGATTATCCTCCACTTAGGATTCATAAAATTGGGTAATTTGAATTGTTTAAAACAAAATTAATCCTAATTTTCATAATTAGGGTTCTATAAATTAAACAGACATGAATCAAATATGGGCGGCTCTGATACTAATTGTTGGAAAAACAATAATAATAATAATACTGATTTTGATTCTAACAATCAAACATAAACGTAATCCCATACTGATAAACATGTTGTAAACTGAATGCGAAAGTGTACCTGAATTAGCCATAACGATGATGTCTTTGTAAAGTACTATATTGATCTTATGGTCTTCCACCTGAGGAGCACCTGTATTTCCCTCTTGATTTTCTCTCTTGATGGGGATAGAAAGAAAGGAACGGGACTGATACTTACGTTCTGTGTGTGTGCTCCCAGAAGGGGACCACGACCCCTTAAAATAACCAAAATTAGGTTAATTACTTAAGTTTTAGTATTTCCAATTTGGCCCCTCATCAAATTAGAAATTTCTCAATGGTCTCTACACAATTTTATTTTCATGACATATGCCTTTAGCCAAAACTTTAATTTAGTCAGATCACTTTATTATTTGGCTTAATAAATAATGACCCTAACACATTTAAATTATGTATCATATATATACATGACCCAAATTTTGCCAACAAAACCTACCTAACAACAGAGCTTAAGAAGGAAGCTTCTGTTCCAAATTTTTCAACAATGTTGAATTGGTTTGAGAGGCAGAGATGTTAAACAAAGCTTTTGTTATTACAACTAGTACTTTAGAGAGGAGAAGATATTACAAGAACCTCTAATAATAGTCAAAAATCATAATGAGTGAGTGGGTGATTGGAGAGGATAGGGAGTTTTTGTTTCATAGGACCTACATTACTAGATTGGACCACTCTACACCTTCAAACAGTCCATTATAAGATAGGGTGTTTTCTATTTATTTTTTATTAATCATATACTAATTATTATAAAATATTTAAGAATATTTAAAAACATTTAATACATAATACATGTATATAAATACATTTAAGGCGTCCACTAACTTATTCTCATCCTTAACCATTTATATAAATACATGTATATTACCACTAGGCTTGTATAGGTGTGTTGTTTAAAACTGGTTTAAAACCAATTAAATTTTAAAAGTCATTATTTTAAAACATACCAGTGTAGAGATAAATATTAAAATTTGGTTTAAAATCATATTTATTCCAAAATTGAATCTAAAAACAAAATGTCAACCAGACTTGTATAACATGGGGTGAAGATGATGTTGACAATTTTCATGAATGTGAGCCTTTTGATCAACAAAACTTAGAAATGTTTTTTTTTAGATGAGGAAGGAAATATACCATTAACAAGGTTCTATCTTCATACATACTATTTTTGCATCAATTCCTTTAATCCATCAAGTTTTATGGACAAAATATCAGTAGGCATAACATTCTTGCTAGAATGCTTTTTTTGGAAATTAAAAAGGATAAATTAAATTTTCTAGTTAGTTCTATTCATAAGAGGGATAAGTTTACTAATTTATGTGATGTTGACTTATAAGAATGATGAAGATGAAATTTTCAACCTCAAGTAAATCTAAGTCAGATACTCAAGTGAATATTCATCCTGCAGAGCTAAATAGTCAATCTCTTTTACTCCCACCTATACCTAAGTATACTAATCCACCAACACATCAAATATAAATTACTCCACATACAAGTAATCAACATGATCCCCACCATCTCCATCTACACCTCAAGCAAGTAAGATGTTTCAATTTCCTTTTTGAATTTGATATTATCCATCAATCCTACGGTAGACTACAATTTTTATTTCATTGATTTAATTTATTTTTAAGAACCTTAAAAGTGAGAATACCTTCAACTAATCAAATCAACTATGCTCCTACATTGATTTTTCATACCCTACATTGATTTTTCATACCCCATTTGCATGACAACCAGATTTTTAGCTAACATAACAATTTGTTCCCAAATTAACAATTACAGTTGCTTCAATTCAAATTCTGAAAATACAAAAGAAGAAAATGAGGAAATTGAGTTGCAAGTAGAATAATAAAGGCCTACAATGCGCGCAAGAGAGCATGGTTGATTGATGTCATTAGTAAGCTAATAAAGTTAAAACTTGATATTTATATTAAATATAGTATGTAACATTTTGTAAAAGCTACGAGTACAATACATATTTAAAAACCAATGATGTTAGAACTTGACATTTATATAAAGTACTATGTAACTTGACATTCTTTTAACATGTTACACATACTAGTTTTTGTTGTCTAATTTAATTAATAATGCAGCATCATACATTAACTTTGTTTGAATTGTAGACTTTGTTCTTTTATAAATGTTGATTTTAATTATTATATTAAATTAGAAAATATTCTTTTGATAGAATTTTAGTATTTATTTTCAATGATTTTATTGGTTCCAGGAGATAAGACTTTTAGACATTATTTTTATTTTATTAATATATTGTTAATATTTTTAATAGAAATAAATGAGTATTAGAAAAAAGAATGAAATTAACGGGGTTTTAAGCCTCAAGTAAAATTACATAGATTATAAATCGCTTAGAGATAACAAAGATTTTAAAAGGCAAAAATGCAGAAAGGTGACAAGGGTTTCAAAAGTGCGGAGACGTAGTAAGGGTGAAAATTTTTTTACATTGTCACAGATTCATTTTTTAATTACTTAGTATATTGTAGGTTTTACTTATCTATATAGCACAATTTTTTTTTTAAGTTGAAAATTTGATTTCCTGACATATGAAACTGAACCTGGTTACAAATATTTTTCTTTTTTCAAATCATTTAGAATTTGATTTTATCCGAATTTTGAATTGTTTTTTTTATTTTATTAAGAAAGAAAAACTAATTAATATATATATATATATATATAATATTATAGTATTTTATTTAAAATTTATAGTTTTAAATTATAATTTTCAAAAGATCTATATATTTCTTAAATTAATAATATATTTAGATTTACAGTTGAAAGTAATAAAATAATACTTTTAAAATATATTATTAAATATTATATTTATATTTTATTTGTATGGTTAATTTTTTTTTTAATTCTTTGATTTATTTCATATTGTAATATTTTTTTAGAAATTAATAATAAATTAGAAGGATAATAAAAAATTTAAAAATAATATGTATATAAAATTAAATAATATTTTAATGTAAAATTATATTTTTGAAATGTATTTTTTTTATAATATTTTGAAAGATATATATTGCATCAAGTAATACGGAATATCCGGTGTTGAAGAGCTCTAAATCCCCTGTTAGCTCTCACTTGGTCGTGTCCTGTGGAGACAGCTCCCAACAAGGACGAAGGTTACATAAATTCTAGAAATGAACCTTACCCTGTTTGACAAGTTGTTCCGACTTAAGTAAGGTTATCAAGTAGTGGAAGATCTTTAAGATGGTTCTTAATCGAGTCATCTTGGTAGTAACCGATGGTCTCAACAAAAAGCTCTGTGTCGGAGCTCACTTGTTTGCTAAGGAGGTGATCAGGCTTGGCCGAAAAAGAAGCAACACTATGGATACTATGATCGATCACCATCGATAAAGAAGAATCTTTTTAAATCACTTCGGGTCAGCAAGGCCTTCAAGCATCCGAAATACGCCGGGGTTGTAAATGACATAGCGTTCCTAATAGAAAATGATGACTCCTTTAGAAAAAGGAAGTTATTTAAGTTCGTTTTCCCCATGAAATCCCGCTCCGACGGCCCGACGAGTCATCTATTTAAAAGGACCCTCCCTGTAGTCAGTGACGGATCTTCTTGGGAGCTGAGGGGGGCCGTGGCCCCCAAAAGTTTTGTAACTCCTATGTAATTTATGATTTTTGTCCCCCCAAACATAATGAATATTTAATATATTTACTTGTATATTTATAATTTTATCCTCTCTGCCCCTCCTCAGTTTTGTAACTTTCATATAATTTATGATTTTGTTCCCCTCAAACTTAATGATCATTTAATATATTTAAGTATATATTTAGAATTTTATCTTTTCAGCCTTTCATCTTCTTTATTCTTTTTATATTTATTTATTAATAATATATTATTTAGCTCTCCCAAAATTAATAGTAAAGATCCGACACTGCCTACAGTGTCCCTCCTTGAATTATTCGGTCATGCAATACGTATGAAATAGAAAGAATCAAATGCATTTCAACCCCGTCGTCGTTCTCACTCATTTCGTGGCACGTGGCTGAACCATCAACGATGGGAGCAAAACAGGGAAGAGGCTTTTATATATATATATATATATATATATATATATATATATATATATAATATATATATATATATATATATATATATATATATATATATATATATTATATTATTTATTTTTAAATTGATAATTATTATTTTAATTTATGTAAAATATATATATAATTAATTTTAAGAATTTTAATTTATGTAATATATATATATATATAAAATTATAATTTATATAATATATATAATTTATTTAACATTAAAAGTAATTATATTTTATAAATTTTATAATTATAATTTTTTTAAGTTATAATTCTAAATATAATTTTTTCTAACTTTATAATTATAATTTATATAATATATATAATTTATAATTAAAAAAATAATTAATTGTTTGAAAAATTAATCGATTATATTCGAGGAATTGAAAAACTAATTAATTAGTTTTTCAAATAATCTATTAGTTTTTTAAATATACATTAAATAAAACAAATATATATATATATATATATATATATATATATATATAATATTATAATATTTTATTTAAAATTTATAGTTTTAAAAAGATTTATATTTTTATTAGATTAACAATATATTTAGATTTATTGTTGAAATAGTAAAATAATATTTTTAAAATATATTATTAAATATTATATTTATATTTTATTTGTATGATTATATTTTTTTAAATTTTTTGATTTATTTGATATTGTAATATTTTTTTGGAAATTAAGAATAAATTAGGAGGATAATAAAAATCTTAAAAATTATATGTATATAAGATGAAATAATATTTTTATGTAAATTATATTTTTAAAATATTTTTTTTTGTGTTTTGTAATATTTTGGAAGATATATATATATATATATATATATATATATATATATATATATATATGTTTTATATTTTAGAAATGAAAATAAGTTATAGATAGGAAAAATAATGTATTAATATTTTTGAAATCCTTTTTACATTAAATAAAAAATTTGTGAACAAAAAATATATGTAAAATTATAATTTTTTATTTAAAATTTGTGGAGTTTGAAATTATAGTTTTAAAAGAGTTATATGTTTATTAGATTAATTGTAATATGTTTTAAATTATAGTTTTAAAAAAATTGTATGTTTAATAAATAAAAAATATATAAATGTAATGTAATTTACTAATATGAATTTAAATTCTTGTAAGAATTTAAGAATCTTGAGTATTGGTATTTATAGGAAAAATAAATTTAAGTGTTGGCATGGATTGAAATTAGGAGGACTCCATCCATCAGCTTTAAGTGTAGTATAAGTTCATATCTCTCTAGGCACGCTTACCAAATAGAGGTGATAGGTCTTGTGTTAGTGGCAGGGTACATGTGAGGGCATTGATTGAGAGAGTGAATGAGTCAATGCATGCTAATAGTCATCAGCTTTTGCAGTAGGAATAATTCATATCTCCCTCATACATAGACATACTTACCAAATAAAGTTGATATGTCTTGTCTTAGTGGCATGGTGCATGTGAATGTATTGATTGAGAGAGTAAATGAGTTAATGCATAGTAATAGTCATCAACTTTTGCAGTAGGAATAATTCATATCTCCCTTAGCACGACTGGCGAATAAAGTTGATAGGTATTGTCTTAGTGACTTGGTGTATGTGAGAGCATTGATTGAGAGACTGAATGAGTCAATGCATAATAATAGTTTATTGAATGTGTAAGTTATTAAGATAATAATTTAATTGAATGTGTAAGTTATTAAGATAATAATTTATTGTATTTGTAAGTTATTAAGATACAAATTTTTTGAATTTGTAGGTTTTTTATTCATCATTTGCAAAGTTTATATTACAAACCCAACATAAGGTAGCTAAATAAGAATAGTTCAAACACTAAAACTAAATGCTTGTTATTTAATCCCCATAATGGTGTCAAGTTCCACATCGGGGTCGCCTTTTGTTCCTAGTTGGGTTCCTCCTTCCCTGGGGCGGTGTAGGTACTTCTTCCTCTGAAGGTTGGACTTCATGATGCCCTGCATCTTCATGACCTTTATATGCGTCGGAGGATGACACTGTTTCATTATGATATTGGACATTATAAGGGGATTGTGGATAAGGTCCTTCAAAACCCTGTGTCGAAGGTGGAGTTGGGGCATACGCTCCAAAAATGCTTGGCATTCCTAAATCAGAGAAGGAAGAAATTGAATGCCTTCTTTCATCCATAGTTCCTTCTTCTTCTGGAGTGTTGTAATTGTGCTCAATGGCATCATGTTGAGGAGGTTGTGCATGTGTTGAAATCGATGCCCGATGCATCCTCGGGTCATGTAACATTTGTGGAACGGACAAATACAAAAATGAGTTTTCCACAAACCACGACATATACTCACTACTGTGGAAAAGTGGCCCTAAAATTGGTAATCCAGTCAATGTCAGATCACACATGTTCTTCCATACGTCTATCCATTTCGCATGTCTAGTAGCCCAATTCTCATCTTGTCTCCCCCTCATGTCTACTTTATGTAGATCATCAAGGTTGTTGAGTGAGTCAGGAACATCTTGTACCAGACGAAATTGTAACTTCACCATGTCTGACTGGTGTCATTCAACAATTGAAAAACAAAGTAAACTTGTGCAAGAGGTCCACAATGCTTGGTCCCTGTATGCTTCGACAGGAATGATTGATTCCAATCCCTCATACGGAACCCATATAAACTATGTCAACAATACTAAAGTGAGAAACTTAGTAAATTATGAACATTAAAAAGTGAAGTTAAAATATAGAAGTGAACCTGGTTAGGTTCAATGTGGTCTATCCTTGATCGGTAGCCAAGTAAATCATTGTGGGGAACATTTTGATAGTTCAGTACATGACCCCCACTCCATCGGCATACAAGGGGGAATGTCAATTGAGTCCGTGAAATTGGTGCAATAAAGGGCATATGAAACCATGCCCAGGACTGTAATAACGACGCACATCCACCCATGGTCTTCACACGCTGATTTGTTGCTCTACACATCTCCCTGTACAATACAACTAAACAAGCAGAACCCCAACTATATCGTCGAGTTCTGCAAAGATTACTTTAAAATTCCAAGTACATTAAGTGTACCTTATTACCAGTTTTATTAGACATTAAAATCCCTCCAATCAATCCTAATATATATGCCCTTGCATGGGCATCTCTATATTTGATTCCTCTTGTAGTGAGACCATATTTTCCTTAAGCCACTTTAACTTCACCATAGACCCTATCAGGGACTCCCCCTTTGTAGGAATAATACCTAATAACGTGTGACACATGTCCTCCCAATCAAACATCGTTGGTCCAATCACAGGTGGACAATCAATTCTAAGCCCTAATTGAAGTGAAACATCTTGCAATGCTATTGTGCATTCTCCTGTTGGCGGATGAAAATTATGTGTCTCAGGCCTCCACCTCTCCACCAAAGTTGTAACTAAAGCATGATCTACCTTTAAATGTCTTAATTTAGCAACACCGTCAAATCCAGCTTCTTCTATTACAGGAAGAGGAAGAGGATGTGGTTCCAGCATGGAATGACAGTACGACGACACAATACTTTGTTTTGTGTCCTATATAACCAAAAAATAACATTGTTTAATGAGAAAAAGATAACTTGAACAATAATAACAATAGAACTAACATATCATCAAAGCAATGTAGGCAGCTCTGTGTTCTTGTTGTCTCCACACCAACATTTTGTTAACCTTCTTTCTTCAATCTTGACTAATACTCTTGCAAAAATTATAGTATATGATTATGATGACCGTAAGTGTGGTTATTGAACTTCGTCTTTCAAAATATATAGACTAAAAGCCTGAACGATTAATAAAAGCTTGTCGGACCACATGCAATGTGGATCTAAATCTTGTGCGTTAATCTCCACAGATTCAATTTGAACCCTCCGATTAAAGTTGATGTACTTTGTGACAAGGACTAAAGCCTGCACGCGTTATTGATGGTGGTTAAACCTCATGCAGTGTGGGCTATCATTGATGGTTGTCCATGAGAGCAGGGTGCATGTGAGAGCATTGATTGAGAGAGTGACTGAGTCAATGCATGGTAATAGTCATCAGCTTTGGGGAGTTATGGTATGACATAATACCATTATTTATAGTATCATAACGGGCAGTGTATGTTTTTTTAGTTAACAGCTGCGATTGAAAGCACAAAAATTGAATGCAGAGGATTCATATCCACTACATAAGGCATACTGATCAGCCATAATGACACGATCGTGCTTTAATAAAACCCTGTCAGACCTCGTGCAGTGTGGATTTAAATGATGTGTGTTCATCTCCACAGATTTAATTTCAACCCTCAGATTAAAGTTGGAGCACTTTATCACATGGACTAAAGCCTTCATGCGTCATTCATGGTGGTCAAACCTCGTGCAGTGTGTATCTAAATCATATGCGTTCATCTTCACAAATTCATTCTTAGCCATTAGATTTCGTATGTGGAATTATCATTGTTGTTGGCCCAGGTGAACAATTGTCCTATAAATAGAGCAACTTATAGGTTGTTTGATCAATCAACTCAGTGACAAGGTACTACAACCAACAATGACATTTATAGCTTTCATAATGTTGGTGTACTTCAACGACACCATCTTAATGGAAGAAAACTACTCTGAAACATACATTAGCTCTCAAACGGCTTGGGTGACCATAACAAACACAATGACTATGGTCGAAGTGAAGCAAACTATTCTTAACCACTTCAACATGTCAACAGTAAACGAATATGAAGTTGACTTACAATACAGGTTACCAATTTTCATATATGTCACCACTGCACATTATAGATCATGTAAGATATTTGTAAATGACGACATCGAGACATTGTTTTTAATGGCAACAGAACAGGCTACAGAAGTTCATGTTGAGATCTTGGCATTTATTACAAAAATGCACCAAAGCGCAACCCCATCTGAAGTTTATTATGATTTGGCTAATAACTTCAACTAATCACTAAACTTAGATTGATTATCATGTACCTTGATTTCTAAAAAATCCATGAACCTTATGTTATCACTCTTCTTGTCATGTGTAACAAGTATTTCAATCCATCCAATATTATCATTTATGTGAAGTTGATTAATCTTATTGATGTTTATCATTGTATAAAAAAAATTGTATTAACATGATGACGTAAAGTTATGTGTAAGTCAAATGATCACACAAGAAAATATCCAAGTCACATGATGACATAAGGTGTGGTGTGGGTCACATGATCACGTTGGTTAATGTGCGGGTCACATGATCACCTACCTTTTGGTTATAAAAGAGGGACCTTACCACAAATTTCAAACCATAGTTATTCAAAACTTTTCTTTTATTCCTCCATAAATGGCACCAAAGATGTTTGCATGCATCTATGATAATGGTGACATGATTCCTAACCCAGAAAATGGTGTTTTGTTTAAGTCTGACACCTGTATCATGGTTCAGCTTCATATAGGTTTCACATTTTTACAATTAATAGAGATAATATTGCAACGAGCGAAGAGAGATCCAACCAATCCACCTCCTGTCCTCCATTTCAGATTTTTCCAACACAAATTTCTGGCAGACATGTGACTTACACAACAACAAAGATTGAAGATGACGATGACTTGGATGGAGCCATGGACATCACAGAGGCCAACCCAACTTTGAGATCCTTGGAAATTTGCACGACTTACAACACAGGTATTTCATCTTCCCAGCCCAATTATTTTAATCATTCTCATGAACATCAACAACCCTTACAAACCAAAACCACACATCAGTCATTTGACCTTAACGCCACATATATAGGAGAATGGGAAAATGACATACAATCATACACCCAACTCTTGACCGGTCCATCGACCTCACAACTTCTCCCATCTCCTACATATGTCGACACACAACAATTCTCCTCTCCTCCTCTACAAGAAAACAAAACATTAGGCATACCTTTGTCGTCATTAGACTCATTTAGTGAGGATGAGGATGACATCCTTAGCCAACACGCAGATGATGAAAAAGAAAACATAGATATCCCTCCTATACAACAACAGCCTCATTTATCTCTTCAATACAACCTGCCCCGACACTTTCAGTCCTATGAAGAATTTTCCCAACATGTAGACCAACAATATCCTCATGCACACGACCACTTTAATATCCAACATGACACATTCGAGCATGAACCTAGTACATTAACCCACAGAATGAGGTTCCAAACAGAGGAACAAGTCATAGATGTTTTAAACACATTTCATATCACAAATCATTGCACATACAAAACGACACACTCCAATACAACAAGGTTGAGGGTGCAATGTGTCCACCATCAATGTCTGTGGAAGTGTCAAGCCATCCTTCGAACAAGAGATCAAGTATGGGAAATAAGAAAAATCAAAGGGTCTCACACCTGTGCCACACAACTCATTACACAAGGTCATAACAGGTTGGGGTCACATATCATTTCCCAACATATTCATGAGATGGTTGAATCTGAACCATCAACACCAATTGCAACAATCATTGCTTCCATCAAGACCTCACTAGGCTACACAACAACGTATAGAAAGGCTTGGTTGGCCAAGCAATTGAATATGTGTACGAAAATTGGAAAGAATCATTCAACAAATTGTCACGAGTACTATAAGCAATGCAAACATTTCTTCTTGGTTTCGTATACCAACTCAAAACTAAGGTCATAACTGATGGCGAGGAGGTCCTGCAAAACGAAAAATATTTCAAAGGAGTATTTTGGACCTTCAAACCATGTGTTGCTGGATTTCTCTATTGCAAATTGTTAGTGCAAGTGGACGGAACATTTATCTACGGGAGATATAGGGGCACTCTTCTAGTGGTTGTAGCACAAGATGGGAGGAACAACATACTCCCTATTGGTTTTGCTATTGTTGAAGGTGAAACGGCAGAAGCTTGTTTTTTTTTTCCTTAAAAACCTTAGGAGGCACGTTACACCTCAAGAAAACCTGTGCTTAATTTCGGATCGCCATAAATCCATCAGTGTAGCATTCAATAGACCGGGAAGTGGATGGACTCAAGGAAATTATGCGCATGTGTTTTGCATTCGATACATTGCATAAAATTTCACTCAAAGATTCAAAAATACAACTTTGAAGAAGTACCTTGTAAACATGGGTAAGTACTTAAAATTCCAAAATTTTATTCAATTATGTGTGATCTTCCATTATTCTTCATTATATTTAATGAGTATTACTTTATAATTATATTTGCAGCATACGCAATGACTGGGCCAAGATGTAACTATTACTACAATATCATAAGGGAAGAGAACCCAGAAGTAGCAACTTGGATTGATCAAATTCCAAGACATCAATGGGCACTTGCGTATGATGAAGGCAGAAGATGGGGTCACCTCACAACTAATCTGGCCGAAGCTATCAACTCAATCTTGAAGAAAACAAGAAATCTACCAAGCTCCTCCATAGTATTGGCCACATATACCAGATGCAACACCTTCTTCACAGAAAGAGGGAAGCACGTAACTGCAATGATAAGTGTTGGTCATGTTTATTCTGAAAATGCCACCAAGGTTCTACAA